GGACGTTGGGAAGGTTGTTTGCTGTGTTTCTGTAGTAACCACTTCCACTCTGGACACTCTCCTCCCCAAAAAATCTATTTTCACTCTGCATTTTTGAACTCAACCCAACACCTTTCCCTCCCTCAGGTATGAGCGCTGACAATTTGCTCTGAAAGTCATATCTCACGCTCCCTGCATTTCTGTTTCCTTACAGTTCTTGATATCAATTTGCAGAGGGGTTTCTCTTTATTCATTGCAGTAGTATTTTGTATATAAACTGAAATATATTCTCATTTTTGTCACATCAGTATCTTTAGAATGATTGATGATTGATTGCAGTCGTATTTTGTGGTTGTTAGGGGGATGATCCAAAGCTTCCTAGATTGGATCTTGGTTTGCCAAACCTCCAGGCCTAGTCCTAAGTCTCCAGTTTTCAGGGAGAACAAGGTGCAAATTCTTCACTTTTGCTCAGCTCTGGGCAAGAGGAGAGGATCCAGTGCAAATCTCTAGCTCACCAAATGAAGCAGCAGCTTGCTATGATCTCCAAGTTTTTAAAAATCAGGTCCAAAACCCACTGCAGAAATCATCCAGTTTGAGGCCGCTTTAACTGCCCTGGCTCAGTGCTAGGGAATCTTGGGGGCATATATATGAGTTAAAGTACACTACTTACATTGACCTGTGGATAAGCTGATTTCTTGGGTCAATTTTTGACTAAAATTTCTAGACGTATACATGAGTATATACAGTATCTAATATATTCAGAGATTTCATGCCTTCCTTTGAAGAGAAACAAACCTTGTGGTTCACTTTCCTCTCGAAACCCCCCCCCCCCCCGAGAAGATTTCCATCTCTCGATCGCAACTTTCGAATTTCAGTTGCTGCCACATCCGTGGTCGCTGTGGCTTTTTGCTGCTGTGGTTGTTCCAGGAAGTTTTCCTCGATTCTAAAATCCAGCTGCTTCTGCGGTGGAGGAGGCACATCTGCTTTGAACCTTTTCATGAAGCAAGGATTTCTTTCATTATTTGCTTAAGGCTAAGTATCTATCACCGCTCAGTCCATTAGGGCTGCATCTGCACTGCAGAATGAATTCAGTTTGACACCGCTTTAACTGCCATGGTTCCATCCTATGGGATTTGTAGTTTGCTGTGACACCAGTAATTAAATATACAGTGGGCCCTTGCTATCTGCTGGGCTTTAGTTCCTGTGGATACCAAAATCTGTGGATGCTCAAGTCCCAGTAAATATAGTGGCATAGTAAAAGAGTGTCCCTTAAATAAAATGGCAAAATCAAGCTTTGATGTTTGGAATTTATATATTTTTTTCTTAAATCCTTTTAAGCTGTGGATCCTTGAATCTACATAAAAAATCTGTGGATAAGGAGGGCCGACTATAGTAATTAAATAATAACAGCAACAATAAGCATGGAGAGCCAGCATGATAGGCTATGACTCTGGAGACCAGGATTTGAATCCATGCTCAGCCATGGAAACCCACTGGGTGACCTTGGACAAATCACACTCTCTCAGCCTCAGAGGATTGCAATGGCAAACCCCTTCTGAAGAAACCTCCCAAGAATACCCCACGATAGAGTTGCCTTAGGGTCACCGTAAGTTGGAAACGACTTGAAGGCACACAACAACAGACATCAACAAGTAGCACCATAGTTCTCTGACAAAGAAGGCCAAATGGCTCACCAAACAACAAATCCCAGAACTCCATAGCATTGAGCCATGGCGGTTGAAGCAGTGTTGAAATGCATTAACTCTGCAGTGCAGATGCAGCCCAGGACTCCCAAGACGATGGTGAACAAATAAAAACAAATTAGGTGCATCGATAGAAACTTTTAAAACAAAGTAACAATAAAATAATAAAATAAAAAACCACGCACATACTCATTCTATTCATTTTAAAATGGCAGAGAAATGTCAAGGACCATGTGGAAGAGCAGATGGGATGCTCAGAAGAGATGGAGTCAGTCCAAATTCCTGTGGCAGGGAGTTCCGCATTTTGGGGTGCCACAACAGAGAAAGGCCTGTCACATTTGCACCCCAACCGAGCCCCTCTGAAAATGACGGGAGAGGATTTCTGGGGAGGATGGTTTGCACAATTTGGGGGGGAAGGTCCTGATTCATCCTCTTTCTCTCGGTCCGCAGGAGCTGTTATCCGATGAAGACGCGGAGGAACCGGCTTCGGTATGTGGATCTTCTTCTTGGCAACAATTTGGGCTCTGATCCAGCTGACCTACATGAGGGGTGTATGCGTACGTGTGTCCGTATGTATGCTTTGTATGTTTGGGGACAAGGGGAATATGTCTCTGGAACACATCACCTCCTTGGCCTGTGGTAAACTCTGTTGGCCAGATTGCATACAAAGGCATGGGAAATCTGGTTATTGTCTTCTCACTTCCAGAAACTAGGGACCTTACTGGTTTTGACTGCAGCTCCCAGAATCCCCCCACCAGCCAGCATGGCTGCTGGCCATAAATCCCTGGTGTCGTTTCCAAGCTAGGTTGCTGTGCAAGGCAATATTTTGTGCAAGGCAATATGGTGGGAGTTGCATTCTGGTGGAGGGTGATGCGGAGGCAAGGACTGTCGGGGCTACTGTCCCTGCCATGCCTTTCTTTGGCACCCTGTTTCTCTTTTTATTTTCTCTCCTCTGACCTCTTGGTCCTCCAGAGGAGAGAGAGAGAGGAAGAGAAACTGGAAGATGGATAAGGGGTGTTTGCGGGAAAGAAGGCTGCATCCAGAATCTGCAGAAGTAATTCAGTTTGACACCACTTTAACTGCCATGGCTCAATGGTATGGAATTCTGGGATTTGTAGTTTGGTGGGGCACCAGCACTCTCTATAGAGGAGGGGTAGGCAGCCTTTCCCCTTTAAGGGCCGAGGGACTTCAGCTCCCAGAATCCCAGGAGCTATTGGCCAACATGGCTGAGGCTTCTGGGAACTGAAGTCCCTCGGCCCTTAAAGGGGAAAAAAAGTTGCCTACTCCTGCTATAGAGAATATCTCACAAAACTACAAATCCCACAGTTCCATTGCCAGTCATTTCTGACTTATGGCAACTCGATGGGGGTCTTCTTGGCAAGTTTCTTCAGAGATGGTGTGCCATTGTCATCCCCTGAGGCTGAGAGCGTGTGACTCACCCAAGGTCACCCAGTAGTGTTTCACAGCTGAGCAGAGATTCAAAGCCTGGTCTCCAGAGTCATAGTCCAAGGCTCAAACCACTAGACCACACTGGTGATCTTAGGCCAGTCTTTATCTCTCAGCCCAGCCTCCCTTGCAGGGTTCTTGTGAAGTTTAAATGCATTTGGGGGGGCACTTGTGATGGCAAGAGGAGTATAAATCAAATTGAGTGAAATGTCAGAACGTGAAACCATTAAATGTTTTGCAGAACATCACATCCCTCAAAAGGTTTAATAATTAAAATAATTTCATGGCTGTTTTCTCTCTCCCTCCTTGTCCCTCTAGGTGGCGCTGTCTACTGGCTGGAACAGCCAAGGCAAGTTCCTGCACCATCTTGCCCAGCAGGGGGCGCTACGGCAGCGAAGGCAAGGTGAGTTGGGCTCCATCCCTCCCAGACTGGTACATCAGGTGTGATGGTTTGTACCTGACCAGGGCCTACATGTCCCAAAGGCACCAGGTGCCATCTGACCAGGAAACCTTTTGCACCCGGTGCCTCTTCACCCATTGAGTCTTTTCTCCCCTCGAACCCACAGCAGCTGGCAAAGGGAAGCGCTCCAGACCTCGCCGAACCAGCGCCGTCTCTGCCGCGCATTATGAAGGTGGGCAGCAGGGAAGCGTGTTCTCATCCCAGCTCCGTTCTAGCCTGTTGACCCCAAATTGGAAAACCCTAGCAGATAATCTCCATTTCCATCTTGGGAGATCTTCGGGAGGGGGGCAGGCAGGTAGTGGTCCCTAAAAGTAACTGTCCCAAGCCCTTTTCCCCATGCACTCCTTCCTCGCTCTCCCTCCAAGATGGCACTCATGGTATGCCCACGAAACCTAACCCCAATTTCTTTATTTCAGTACAAAGCACAGAGGGACGAGCTGGGATCCAGGCAGGTAACTTTTTTGGGGCCGGGACATTTTGGGAGGGAGGGAGGGAAGGTGGGAGAGGATGGATAAGTGAAAAGACTTAGCATAATAAGGAATTAAAGCAATTACGGTGGGCCCTTGGTATCCACCGGAATTTGGTTCCAAGACCCCCACAGATACCAAAATTGGTGGGTGCTTCTTGTTGTTGTTCTTCTTGTGCCTTAAAATCATTTTTGACTTATGGCAACCCTAAGGCCTATCATGGGACTTTCTTGATAAGATTGGTTCAGAGAAGGTTTGCCATTGCCTTCCCCTGAGGTTGAGAGTGTGTGACATGCCGAAGGTTTCCAAGTGGGTTTCATGGCCAAGTTGAACCCTGGTTTCCAGACTCATAGTCCAATGCTCAAACCACTATGCCACACTGGCTCTCTTGCTTCAATCCCATTTATATACAGTGGCGTAGTAAATTACACTACTAGTGTGGTGTAATGGTTTGAGCATTGGACTATGACTCTGGAGACCAGGGTTCAATGAAACCCACTGGGTGACTTTGGGCAAGTCACATGCTCACAGCCTCCAGGGAAGGCAATGGCAAACCTCCTCGAAACAAATCTTGCCACGAACAACTCCATGAAAACTCCTTAGGGCTGCCATAAGTTGGAAACAACTTGAAGGCACACAACAACAAGTAAATTGCCATTCCTAATGTAAAATGGCAAAATCAAGGTTTGCTTTCTGGAATAGTTTTTTTGGAATAGTTTGGAATAGTTTTTTTTTAATAGTTTCAAGCTGTGGATGGCTGAATCTGTGGATGCAAAATCCGTGCAAAAGTCCTTATCCATGGATTGTTTTATCCACAGAGTCATAGAATCATAGAATCACAGAGTTGGAAGAGACCACAAGGGCCATCCAGTCCAACCCCCCGCCAAGTGGGAAATCCCAATTAAAGCATCCCCAACAGATGGCCATCCAGCCAAAAGTAACTGTTGCATTGGCCGGGAATCGAACCCGGACCTCCCGCGTGGCAGGCGAGAATTCCACCAATGCACCCCAAGTCAAGCATCCACATCTTGAAAATATTCCATGAAAGCACACGTTCTTTATAGCAAACTTTGATTTTCCATTTTAGACAAGGGACACCATTTTGCTAGGCCATTGTATTTCATCTGACTTGTGTATCCATGGATTTTGATATCCAAACCTCAGCGGATGCCAAGGGCCCACT